CTTCTTTCACCTACTGAATTATGTCACCCTTTTGTTCAAATGACTTATTATGCTACTTAACTTGCATTGTAGTTAGTTTTTGAGAAGCTATAGAAAAAACACTGTTCAATCACTATATTCCAGTTTGAAAACCCTCTTAAGCTGTTATCCACTTGCATTTCCCTCCCCAAGTGTAAAACATCAACATGGAAAACACTAAACTCTGTTTCTAGTCTGTGTTCTAGTCAACAAACCTCTTTAAAGCTCTGAAGATGTAAGCGTCTCGTTTTTATATCATAAAATTTTACAAAGCAATTTGGTGTGATGATTTGAAAGAGACCTACATCTTTATCATTCATATCTCTAGGAGGAAAATATTTCCTTTTATTAATATGATCTTCACCTTGAAATAACTATCAATTGAAGACGATTAGTGAAGGGAATTATCAGCTTTTAGAGTTTAGAAAAGAATATTTTTGTTTCTATATTGATCAATCTAAAGAGGAACTCTTTGCTGTTAGTTCAAATTTATGCCCATGCCTGAATATTTCTAGACTCCTATTTTCTGCACTTCCTAAGAAAACTAGCACTTTTTCCTGAGAGAGGAGTCAGGACCTTGGAGAATATACTGAAAAAGAAGCCTTTTATGGATAATCGTATATTACACAGTGGATATAATGAGATGATTATGGTGAAGAATTATAGTGGAAATTTTATAAAAATTTGTCTCGTATCCACATTCAAATCCAAAGAATTAATGATGATTAGGCTACTATTTAATAGCATTACTGATGAACTCTCAAAACAGTTCTGCAGTATCACAAAGCCTCCCCCTAGGAAGACTGAAAAACAGTGGAAGCATCAGAGAGCGTGCCTTGGCCTAGGAATAGAATTGGAGCAGGGTATATTGTTAAAGTATAGGAAGGTGACAGGACCTGGATGTAGAAATGCAGGGGCAACATTATATTTTCATCTGAGCCAACATGCACAATTTCCAATATTTGGTTTTCTGCCAATTAAACAAAAATGCATAACTGAAGAAATCTTATTCATTCCACAGGCAGCCAAAATATGGGTGGTATAAAGTAACCTGATCTGACAAGTCTCCTACTTATAAAACATCCAGTCAAATTAAGTGGAACTATTCACTTCAAATCACTTTAAAATAGCTCCATTATTAAATACCATTAAATGAATTTAAGAGGAATTAAAGAGGAATACTTAAGGTGAATTTAAGAGGAATACTCTTACACGTTTAACTGTATCAGAAAGTCCTAGTAACAATTTATATTAATTTGTATTTATTTTTCCGTTTAAAAGGGCCCACTACCAAGACCAGAGTGCACATCTATAAACACGGATAGGTGTATCTGATCTTAAGAGCACCCCAGTTCCAGAGGATAGGGGACTCCCTGGAATGTAGCAGTGAGATTTAGTTGTCCTGATCAGCTCAGTGTACCTCAAATCACTGTGGTCTTAATATGTATGTAAAAGGTATCATGTAAAGTATCATATGTGAACTGTCCATTAATATTATTGCAGGGTGTATGTACAGAGGATCTAAGAAAGTTATAATACGTATTGGAAATATGTTCTTTAAAATGTTTGGTATATAGGTTTTAATTCACCATGCTCTAGACTAAGGATCGTGGACCAACTGGAAGGAGTGGTGAATATGATAACATTTTGTGAGTGGTACAATGAGCACAGTAGGGGAGATGGTTTTTGGGAGACTTGAGGCTGGCAGGGCTGTTGGTGTCACCCTGAAAGGAGTAAACAGGCATTATGCTATGAAGCAGGCTGCTGGCATCTGAGCTCTGAATCAAAACTGCACAGCACAGCAACATCCAGGGTTATAGGATAGGTATTGATATAAGTCCTTACTGCTCCAAGTGAAGCCCAAAGTTTCATGGCAAATATTAATTAATTAAAAATATAAAGTAAGAATATAAAAATACCTTCCCCTTAATCCAAAACCTTAATCTAAAACTCAGACACAGAAATTGGTGAAATAATTTGTTCTGAAGGTAAATATAGTTACATATCGACATACTGACAAGGGAGTTAAATTCCAAACTTGAGGAACATCTACAGAGGTTACCAAATACTGAATACCATAGAATGTTTGTAACAACTCATTAAAGGACTTCAACTGCCTTGCTAGAAAAGAGAGAGAGAGACAAAGTTTGTCAGGGTAATATCTGTTATAGGACCTACTTCTGGAGAGGTGTGGTCTGGCAGGTAGGTAGGACCTAACCCAGATAAGGTTTTAAAGACATATGCCAATATATTGAATTGCCTTTGGCATTCTCTTTAGAACATTGGTGAAGTATGCTTCCTTAGGCTCATTTCATTCAGTAGCTGGGCTGTTGGATGTAGAATCCACTGAAACAGTCCATTGTGAAGAAAACAAGATATGGATAACTGTACCTTGGAAAATTTAGGTAATTACTTCACCAAATATAAAGTAGAAAAGTGGCTTTCTTCCCACTTATTGTTTCATGAGCAGCTGAAGCTCCAGTATCATCCCTGGACATTATATATCCTTGAAAAGAATGATAAAGTCCTCTCAACACTAACTTTAGAGCCTTCCCTCAGTGGCATTGGGGCAGAAAGACTTATGATTCTTTGGGAGCTTAAAGAAGATGATGAACAGCAATAAGAGACAAAGTAATGGAGGCGAGCATTCTGGTACTCAGATTATGAATATGGTGGAAACAAATTTTCAGTTAGATCCTCTCTGTCATCGTTAAGTGGGACTGGCAGAGGGAAGGGTATGGATCAATTCCAAGGAATAGCCAAGCACTATTTGGCACGCTGGAGGGCCAGTAAAGTTGGCTTTATAGCCCTCCCGCACGTTCCCTTTCAGTTCCAGATCATTTGTTGTTTTTTTAAGCTTATCCTGTACAGACTAATGCGGCTAGCCGCTGAAGCTTCAGTTTTTGTGTTAGCCTCAAGGGAAAACCTTACCAGGGGAATTTTGAGTTGCCAATTAGGGCAATTCTAAAGGCCCAATAATTCAACAATAATTAATTTCAATGCAATCACAGACACAAAATGTATCAATTCAACCATTGCAAAGGTGGATTTAACCTAACTTTACCTTAAAACAGATCCATATAAAGTATTTGTATTACATTTTTGTACAAATTCCATCTACATATAGAAAACCAAACCTACCTAATTTACTTTTCACTACCACATAACATGTGGATGAGCACCAAGTTGAGAAAATGAAACTTACTTTTACATATTTGGTTGTTTGAAAGCATATCACATAATATTGGCATTTAATTTCCTATGATTTAGGAAGACAGAAGATGGTCATCAGCACTATATTTTAATTAATTTACTCTCTAGAGCACCAGTTTCAGTCATTTCTGAAGGTACAACACCTTATAACCAAAAGCAACATTTCTGAGAATTACAGGTTTTACAGCTCACAGTGTTGAGAGCTGTACTGGCAATGTTGTCAATATCTCCTTATGGGAACAGTGCTGCTTGTGGCAAAGCATAGGATTTCATCTGGCCTGTGGGTATATTAGAAGTACCAGCAAGTGTTTTAAAGTCAGCATCCCTAAACCTGAAGAAGAACTCTGTATAAACTTGAAAGCTTGTCTATTTTACCAATAAAATACATTGCTTCACTCACCATGTCTCTCTAGTATCCTGGGACCAACACTGATACAACACTACAAACAATCCCTAAACAGGTACCATTCTCAAAGTGATAACCTTAAGAAAACTGATAAAGAAAACCCTGCAAAACTAGCCAATGGTGAAAGCAAGGAGAAAATTAGCAAACCTCTGTATTGGTCTTATTAATCTACACCAGGACCTATGGGCTGGATCCGCCCTGCCAAGCCCCTGGATTTGGCCCGTAGGTCTAGTGGCTGTCTCAGCAAGGCTCCCTGCCTGCCCCGTCCCTGCACACCACTCTGAAAAGCCAGCTGCAGGGCCCCCTTCATCTGTGAACGCTGTGAGCCCAGGTGTGTGTGGGGGCGGGGGGAGAGAGGTTTGGCATGTTGCTCATTGGCTGGTTTCTATTTGAAGAACAGGCAGCATGGGAAGCTTCCTCGCTTCCCCCTCAGGCTCACAGCTGATCACAGATGCACATGGCCATGATGAAATTCAGAAAGGGTTAAAACAGTTTTAAGCTGTGAGGTAAAACTCAAGACTATCTATATTTGGAGGCTACATCTACACTGGCGGCTTCTTCCGAAGAACTGTTTTGCGGAAGAGTTCTCGCGCAAAAAGTTTTCCACAAGAGCACGTCTACACTGGCATGTGCTTTTGTGCAAAAGATGTGCTTTTGCGCAAGAGCATCCATGGCAGAGTGGACACTCTCTTGTGGAAGAAAGCTCTGATGGCCATTTTAACCATAGGGGCTTCTTGCCAAGAAATTCATGTGCCTGTCTACACTGCCCTCTTGTGGAAGAGCTCTTGCGCAAGAGGGCTTATTCCTTGTGGGGAGAGGAATAACTTCTCTGGAAGAAGCCCTGTTTTACAATGCTATACTGTAAATGTACTTGCACAAGAGCGCGTGTGAGGTGTAGACAGCCAGCAAGTTTTTGCACAAGAACGGCTGTTCTTGCGCAAGAAGCCGCCAGTGTAGACATAGCCTGATTCACTACTGATGTGAATAGTTTCACACACTACTCAAAACTCAATTGCCAAAATAGGCCAAATGATAGGTAAGAGCAAAACAATTTGCCTTTAGCAAAGGGGCAGTCATTCTTTGTCCCTTAGGTAAGCAGAGTAATTATCTTAAAAGGCTGGAGAAAAGAATCTACTTGTTACTATGACTGGCTATTGTTTTACCTGGCACACCTTGCGCTGTGAATAGTTTCACACACTACTCAAAACTCAATTGCCAAAATAGGCCAAATGATAGGTAAGAGCAAAACAATTTGCCTTTAGCAAAGGGGCAGTCATTCTTTGTCCCTTAGGTAAGCAGAGTAATTATCTTAAAAGGCTGGAGAAAAGAATCTACTTGTTACTATGACTGGCTATTGTTTTACCTGGCACACCTTGCGCAGATGTTCAGTGTGACCTTTGCCTGAGTTTTGTTAAATTTATTTCCAGAAGACATCACACTGGTTACTCCTTCCATTCTTAAATCATCAAGATCCTCTGTAACAACACAAAATGACTGAATGAACTAAATTATGCTGTAGACAATTTTGCAATAATAAGGGTATTTCCCCTATACAGAATACGGAACAGCTACTGAACAGTTGGAAGTAAGTAGATATAATTACTTTCACAAAAGAAGAAAAATTATTTGTAGGAGATTTTACATATATATATGTATGTATTTATACATGTATGTATTGTGTCATATTTCTAATGTCCTTTAACACAGCGTAGAAGTAGTTCTGTTTAGAAAAAAAAATGTAATATATCTGATCCAAAAACTACTGCCAAAATTTTCGAACTCTGTTTCACCAATGCATTTACAAAGAAGTTTGCAAATTTATCTATGCAAAGCTGGTGACCAACTATTCAATGTAAATGTAGGAAGTGAGGAATCAATCAAAAAAGGACATTGTGCTCCTGGGAAAATGTGCTGCATCTTCTCGAGATGCTTGTTATTGATTTTTATTTTCTTGTTACCTAGCACAGCAAATGTATTCTGAAATATCAGAGACTTTGCTTAACCTGGAAAAAAATATATATCCCTTGTTACTGTAGTATCCAAGTGGCTCAAAACCATTGAAATCATTAATAGATTTATCATCACAACAGCCTGTGAGGCATGTTTTCCATTTTACAGCTGGATTAAATAACTTATTCAAGATCACAGAGGCAGACTGTGGCTGAACTGAGAATTTAAACCATGTCTCCTGATTTCCCAGTCCAGGAAATTGTGTACTATCCACTACACAATCCTTCAAATAAATAACTGTGGTCAGCAATGCAAGCCCAGCCCCACGTACCCCTCTCTGAGAAGCCCTTTCCATGGGACAGGCCCCCCACCTCAAGGAGCCTCCCAGGCAGTGCAGTCCTGGCCCCATGGGAGGAGCTGCCACGAGAGCAGTACCACCCTCTCTACCACAGACAGCCCTGGTAAGCTCCCTCCCCTGCCCTCCTACTCCCCTGCTTTGAGTCCCCTGTCCCTGTCCTGAGTCCTGCACTCTCCCCTGCCTTGAGCCTCCCCAACTTCCCACCCCACGACCTGAACCACCTGCTCTGAGCCCCCAAACTCCTGCCCTGACTCCTTCAATCTCCACACCTCTAGTCCCCTGTCCTGAGCTCCCCCACATACCCAAACCTGTGCACTGAGCTACCTGACTGGGTGGGACTTTTTAAACAATTGCAGGACTGTGCTGCCATGCAGCTTAGATGGAATCTTGCCCACAGCCATAGCCCCTTACACTGGAGCTGGGTAAATCTTCTAGTATCAAATAAATGTTGAAATTACCCTATTGCAGTGGTTCTCAAAGTATGCTCCATGGACCACTAATGGTCTGTGGCCGCCTCCCAGCAGGTCTGTGGTGGGAGCTCCTTCCCCTCTCCCCCATGCAGCAGGGAGCCTGCGCTGCTGCTGCAGCCTCACAGTTGGCACCCAAGCCGCGAGGTTGCAGCATCAGTTCCAGCCGGCAGGCAGGGAGATGAATAAAGTAAACTCAAACTCAATCTCCCCCCCCCCCCCCCCCCGTGGGCCTCAGAGTAAAACTCGGAGGAGGAATCCCTCGGTTGCTTCTGCAGGGCAGGCAGCAGGTTGGGCTGCATGATCAGCTGGCACCCTCCCCCCCCCCAGCAGCAGGTTGGGCTGCACCGCACCCTGCAACAGTAAGAGGAGGCGACACTGGGACTGAGGACCCTGCACATGCAGGAGGCAGGTGGGGGCTCAGGACCCTTCAGGGCTTTATATCCACGGGGACTCGGTCTGGGGGGAGAGACCCAGCAGCAGCTTAGTCCCCCAGGAGGCCATGGACTGGACCCCTATGAGACCCCATTCCCTGCTGGACACCCCGGGGTCACCTACCCACCTTGCTGTGCTGTGACCAGCCACCTTGTCCCCTGCCCTTCCATTTCCCCAACCCCCACAGCCACCTTGACCTTAGCCCTATTCCCGGGGGCACCCTGCCCCCCCATCTCCCTGAACCCCCTCAGCCACTCTGACCCCCCTCCCCAGCTTTTGTCCCAGGCATTCCCTGTCCCCATCTCCTTGCCTTGCTCAGACACCCTACCCTCTGTCTACTTCTGCACCCTCCCCCCTGGCCAGATACTCTACTCCCAGCCTGCTTCTGCACCCTACCTCCCACCCAGACCTTGCACCCTCATCCCCTTTTGCACCCAACCTCCCTCCCAGATCCTGCACCCTCCCTCCCATCCTACTCACTGGCAGCCCTGTCCCACACACTGAGCACCTCAATTTTGTCCCCACCCCAGAGTCTAATGAGGTCCATAATATCCACTAACTCCAGAACCCCAGAAAAGTAAATCTGGCCTACGGAAAGCTCTGAACCTCAGCCCTCCCTGTCCCATCCCTTCCCTTCCACTCACCCTGGGGGGGGGGCAGGGAGGTATACCAGAGATGTCTCAGTTGGGGGCCACATCAGTGAAGGTTGGGATTTTTTGGAGGAGTTTTTTTGCTTCTCACTTGTGTGGTCCCCTGCTGATTTTTCTGTGGGTCAGTGGCCCCTGACAGAAAAGGTTACCCACACCTGCCAGAAATAAAACATTTAAACCTTTTGTGTTGGACATAAATTAATATTTTATTTAAAATGAAGTTTGATAAACTAACATAAGAAAGTTAAAGCGCTTAATCTGTTTAATAATTTAAATTAAACCAGTCTCCCTAGCTGCAGCACTAGCAAAATGGCATGTACAGTAAAACTCCGATGGTCCGGCACTCCTGATGGTCAGGCACTATCAGGAACCCAGAAGTGCTCCAGGCAGCCGGACCATTGAAGCTGCTCTGCCCCCAGGTTCCCCGATTCAGCTGCTGCTAAAACTGACCAGCGGCTGGATCGGGGACGCCAAATTAAACCAGTCTCCCTAGCTGCAGCACTAGCAAAATGGCATGTACAGTAAAACTCCGATGGTCCGGCACTCCTGATGGTCAGGCACTATCAGGAACCCAGAAGTGCTCCAGGCAGCCGGACCATTGAAGCTGCTCTGCCCCCAGGTTCCCCGATTCAGCTGCTGCTAAAACTGACCAGCGGCTGGATCGGGGACGCCTGGAGCAGAGCAGCTGGGGCGCTGCTGGGTTGGTCCCATAGCGCTGCCCCTCAGGGCTGCGGGACCCAACCCGGCAGCGCCCCAGCTGTCCCCGATTCAGCCGCTGCTGATACTGATCAGTGGCTGACTCCAGGAAGCCTGAGGCAGAGCTGCTCTGTCCCAGGCTTCCTGGAGTCAGCTGCTGGTCAGAATCAGCAACGGCTGG